CCGGCCAATAGATTTTTTTTAGAAAAAAAAATCGTTAAAAATATAAAAAAAAAAATTATTTGTGAATTAGAGAGTTCTTTCCCGGTGCGTGAAGATTGTCCCGCTATTTTTTCGGATTTTTTTTCGAATTTTGTTCGAATTTTTGGTGTTTTTCTTTTATGCATTTTTTTTCGGTTTTTGTGTTAGAGTGATTTTTTTGATTGGGAGAATTCATCATTTTCTACGAATTATAATTTTTATTATTGTTAAAAAAAATTAAAAATTGACTTTTTTATTATTATTTTTTAATAAGAGCAAAAAAGTATTTTTTGGGTGCGGTGATTATTAAAATTGGGTGAGGTGTTTATTAACAACTCTTCTGTAAATTAAGTACTGAAGCTTTTGTTTTCTTTTCACATTTAGTTCAACATCCACATAAAGATTGAAGGTGAAACAATGGCGACTGCGTTTATACACTCTGGGCTGTGAAAACCTTAGCTGAGGATTGATTGGTGACGTGACATAATGCAAACTTTATCAATTTCTTCGCAGAGTTCAAATCTGGCAAACGCAAGTAAATAGCTACACTTTCACATTCAAATTGTTCCCTTTTTCGTAGAATTTCTTTTACCTATATTGGTTTTTCCTTTTAATTTGGCTGCTGAAACTTCATTTGTGTTCTATTAAGCACATGGGTTTCTAATCTGTAGCTGCTATTTGTTCTCTAGCTGCCAGTCTCTCTCAGAAGCTTAACAAGATGATTGCCAGTGGCTTGCAAGACTACAGTTCTTGGAGGTCGTTGATTTTGGAGATTGAAACCAAATATCCAGTACGTCTAGATTTTCTGTCTTGTACAAGTTTGTATGTAATTTGTATTTCATGGCCGTTTTTCCGATTGGTTTGGATTTCCATATGAAAGAGTACTGAATAAAGTATGAGTATCTTTTAGTTTCATAAGACGAAATTAATAGTCGCAGTTATTGTTCGTAAGATAATTTTTCCAATTGTGTAAGTAAAGAAATATCGCCCTGTTCTCAAACATGGTCAATTGTATTTGTATCCGGACAAGATAATCTTGTGTAACTAGTGAGTATGTTGGACGCACAATTTTGCAATTGATTACTTAACTTGATGACTGGATTGCATAGAGTTTGGTAACAATGTAACTGTACATTGCTAAGCTTAACATGTAGGAAAAAAGGGTCACTCTTTACCATGATGATGCGTTCACAGTTCACAGTTCACACACACACACACACACATATGTATATATATGCACACTTTTCTTGGTTTGGTCAGTGATTTATCAAAGTCCATTAGTTTGCATATTATAATGAATTGATGGGGATTGAAACATTTTCTGTTAGGTTTATCAGCTTCAATACATGTAATGATTATCTGCAGGAGGATATAAGTACCATTTCCTTGGCTTATGACACCCTTTTGTCAAAGTTCCCGTTGTGTCATTGGCATTTGGAGAAATATGCATATCACAAGGCGAAGTTATGCAGCCCTCAGGAAGCTGTTAATATTTATGAGCGAGGATTGGGCATGGGAATGTATTCAGTTGGTTTTTGGGTTGACTATTTTACATTTGGTGCAGCTTGCTTTGGAGACCCCGAGGATGTTCGTCGGTAATACTAAGGGAATTTACTATTTTATAGACATGGATATCTATATTTTTTTTATAATTTTGTCATGAAACGTTTCTTGTGTATTATTTTGTTCATTTTGGCAGATTATTTAGAAGAGCCATCTCATTTGTCGATAAAGATTACTATTGTCATGCCCTATGGGACAAGTACATGAGATATGAGTTCAATTTAGAGGGGTGGAATTTTCTTGCACATTGTTACGCCCAAGCACTGAGGTTTCCTACAAAGAAGCTGCAATTTTATTATGATAAGTATGCCCTTTATCTCCTTTAACTTATAAAGGCTACTGGATCATTTCATTTTGCACCTTTTCTACTTTTGATACTTCGCATCATGGATCACATCTCCAACTTTGTCTATGTTTTTCTATCTCTCACGTTGTAATGCTTTTTTCAAGACTAGATATGCTAAACTATGGGGGTAATAGGTGGCCCAAAATGCATCTCATGATTTATACATAATATAGAAGGTCTCTGAGTATCACATTTCCACTAACCCCAATTGCGCCTATTATTCTCTATGCTATACTATCCAGAATTTGGAGTATTGATATTCTGTATAGATCATTGATCATTTGTCAGTTTCACCTTTTACTTTATGTTTCAACCTTCACCTGCATCTTTGGAGCTTAATCAGTATGGGCTCTTCTCGCACATTCTTTTAAATTATATTTGAAGAATGGATTTGTTTTGGAACTGTTAACTCTTCAGCTTCAAGCAGTTTGTAGCAAATTTGAAAGAGGAGATTGAGTATGAAAACAAGAACTGCATGGTGGAACAAGAGTCTGCTCCTTATCCTGCAATAGAAATTTCTGCTGATGAAATCTCTCACATCATCAAGGATTTGTTAGATTCTCCAGATAGTTCCATCAAGTCAAAAGCTCTGGATAAATATAGATCTATTGGTGAAGAATTCTATCAGAGGGCATGCCAGATAAATGAAAAAATAAAATGCTTTGAGACAAAAATTCAAAGGCGATATTTTTGTGCAAAGCCACTTGATGATGATCAACTAGAGAATTGGCATCTCTATCTTGATTTTATTGAGAAGCAAGATGATACGGACTGGGTACGATTTTTTTATTTGTCTTGCTTCCATTTGAATTTTCCTGGTCTGTATCCAATTTTCTCTTGTGCACAGGCCATGAAACTGTATGAGAGATGCTTGATACCTTGTGCCAGTTACCCTGAGTTCTGGATGCGTTATGTGGAGTTCTTGAATTCTAAAGGAGGACAAGAATTGGCGATATCTGCCCTAGATCGGGCAACTAAAATATTTTTAAAGGTGTCGTTGTGGCTTATTCACATGAAATTTATTTTAAGTTGTGGATAAATTATAATAGTTTCGTTTCTCTAAAGTAAAAATGTGTATAGTAGAATTTAATCAATTTACTTTTCTCTCTAAAATTGTAGATGACTTATATTGATTTTTGTTTCTCAGATGTGAAAATGACTTACAGAGTTTATGTTCTTTCTCTAACTGTTTCTGTAAATTTGTAAAATAATTTTTATATTTCCATGGCTAAGAAGAAGAAATTACACTATTTTGTTGCACATCTGTTGTTCTGCAGAGTTAACTTTTTGTTATTATGGCACAGAATGTTCCAGAGATCCATTTATTTAATGCAAATTTTAAGGAACACATAGGAGACATTAATGGTGCACGAGCTGCATTGAGTCTGTGTAATATGGAAACTGATTCCAGCTTCATCAGCAGTGTTGTAACACTAGCCAATTTGGAAAGACGCCTGGTATACTTGTGATTTTCTAGAAATTTTGTTGAAGAATTTTGTTTAAACGTGGTTTTGTTTGAAAATTTTCAGGGAAATTTTTCTGCAGCTACCGCTACATACGAGAAAGCACTCAAAACTGCTAAGGAGAAAAGGAAGGCACACCTTCATCCTAGTCTGTATTTGCACTTTGCCCAGCTTACTCTCTTGGTATAACTTGAATAAATTCATCTCAAGCGCATCATGTAATTCTACTTTAGTTTTCTTCTCATCTATAATAAACTTATTAACACTATTCTTTCTACCAATCCCTCCCAATGATTTTATCGAAGGAAATGAGGAAGGTTTGAAAACTAATAATGACACCTCAAATGCCTTAGAATGTAGGAAACGATCTCCCTATTTTGGGAATTTTATACCTTTGTTAGGATTTTTATTTATTTGTTTATGTATGTTTTGTAAAAAGATATTATTGCTCATTATCTTGCTTGTTGATGAATGCGAACCGTGTACTAACTGCATAACTGGATGGTAGACAACAGGTAGTGCAGCTGCTGCTAGAGATATACTAATTAGAGGCGTACGAGATGTGCCTCATTGCAGATTCCTTTTAGAGGTATTGGATTAGCATTTCAGAATTGTTTATTTATGATTGATCAAACAGATTCGAAATATTCTAGACTCCTTCACCCCCAATGTCTTTATCGTTGAATAGAAAATTCTGATCTTGGTCAATGCACTATGTTTGGAAACTGCATATTTTCATAGTTATCAGCTCCAAGTTTAACATTTTCAGCATAAACGTGTGACAACTGACAATTGATTATTCGTCCTTATGTAGGAATTGATAAAATTTGCAATGACCCATGAAGGACCAAGTCATGTGAATGTCATTGATCCAATAATAGGTGATGCGATCTCGAACGGAGTATATGAATACAGAGGTTTGAGTGCCAAAGACCGAGAGGACATATCAAATTTATTCTTAGAGGTTCGAATTTCTACCTGTTGTGCCATATAATCACACACACAAAAAAAAGAGTATATCAACTGATCGGGATATAACGAAATCAAAGTTCAGCCTTCATAGTTCCTTGTATTTTATAAGTTGCATATTTTAGTTAGCTGTGTTTTTATGCAGTTGGATGTTTCTATGGACATGTTATCTTGCTTTTCTCAGCTTAATGATTTATTGAGCTGTATTTCTGTGGTAATTAGTTGCCATGGATTTGAAATTAAATTCGATGTGCCATATCCTATGGCTACTCGTGATGACTGATGAGTAAATTTGCCAGTATAGTTTATAGCACATGCTGTCTATCAGCTAAACATCTCAATTATACTTTTGTACGCAAACTGTTAATTATGAGGACAAGTGATTTACAATTCATCTGTTATTGATCCCTATATTTGTTATAATGATTTCAGTTTGTCAATCTTTGTGGAACTGCACATGATATAAGAAAAGCTTGGAATCGCCATATTCGATCATTTCCCATGTTCCTGAGGATGAAGATGACCCCATATAAGAATTCCAAATCCTCCTCCTCAAATGATTTGGAAAAAAAGGAAACTCCTAAAAAGTTGTCCTCTCTCGAAGGCCACGACAATAATGCTACCAAAGATTTAAGTTTGTCCAAAAATGATGGACTTCTTCAGCCCAACGGGCGGGCTAACGAGCTCTCGTGCAAATCTATTGTTGCTAGTGATCAAGAAAAACAAGAACTTGATGTTAACTCTGGATTAGCCTCACACTCAGAAGAAGAAAACACTTTAGTAATCCCTCAGAAGTCAACCCAGGGTGTCAGAAAGTCAACAGAACCAGATAATAATGTCTCTGTTGAGACTAAACACGAGCAAGATCAAAATCGGTCCAGACAAAAACCGCAACAACTAAGGAATGTTCAAGACGATCCAGAAACTAACTGGGAGGTGGGCCCATCTGAAGGACCACCTGCACCGGCAGCACCGAATCAAAATGCTTCTTATAATACTAATGAACAGTCGTGGCAAGCTCAAGCACAGATGTTTTACCATTACCAGCAGCAACAATTACTTCAGCAGCAGTATCAGCAACAGCTGCAAATGCAGAGTGCTTACTCTCAGATGCAGTACAATTATTACAACCAACAGCCCTATCAAATACAGCCACATCAGCAACAGTTCAGCCAGCAGCCAGTGGTGCCACATCAGCAAAGCCAGCATTTGCCACATCAGCAAGGTCAGGAACAATATCATCAGTCGTATCAACAAATGGCTTATCAACAACAACAACAGGAACAACAGATGCTTTTGCAGCAGTATCAGCAATATCATGGTAACCAGCATATACCACATCAGCAGCAGCTGAAGGAAAGGCCTGGATTTGTGCAAGAAAATCAGCAGAATTCAATTCAGAATATGAGCCAAAATCAACAGGTATGTTGTAAAATATTAATAGTGCTCCTTTCTATGTACATTAGTCCAAAATTTCTGAAAGCCACCCAGTGAACTGCTGATTGATCGTAATTTTACTATGTCACATGGGCAAAAATAGGTATATTTTAAAAGATGTGGATCATTGTTGAAATTTTTCAGAATTTACGCTGTTTTCGTGATTTGGGAGCCTGACTTTCTTTAAAGTACTATTTTTTTTTTTAAGTTCTCTGCAAACCATAAGCTCGTTTTTGTTGAGAGCAGTATTATATATAGCTTTTGTGGCATTTATTCCACTGGTAGCATAGGAAAAAGAACAAAAGATTACGAATGCTGCAAAAGTTAACATCTTTTCTCAATGAGAGTGCTACTTTTGTCAAAGCCCATCTTACTGGGAGAAAATAATCACTTGTTTTCACCGTCTTCTTCATATAAACATGCACGTTTAATTATGTGTCGTCTGACTTTTTATCTAAGCATGCACTGCAGGGTTCTAGGAAGACCCCACCAGAAATCGATGCTACAGCTCAATCATCAGAATCTCCACATCCGAGGGCTCAATCGCCGCGAGAACTCCAATAACTTCAGAAGTACATTTTGCTGAGAGTCTTTAACTTTGTTTGAATTGTGTCACTGTACTAAAATGGTAAAATATCGTTCGGCTTGGCTCATCTGTTGAGGTTGCCCTTAAAAGGTTGATTAGAAATTTAGAATGAGCTTCACTTCTAACTCTTGAGAATTGGGTGATGAACATTACTCATAAATTAGTGTCAGTTATGTGCAAATCAATGTCTGGGAGTTTCTTTGATTTAAAATCAATATGTTTTCTTTTCCTCTTTTATTGTTTTTCTAAAGATTATAAGCCCCTACTATTTTTTTTTTTCCTTGTATGGACTTGGCTACTATTGCAGTGAGAAATGCTACACAAACATAATAATTTGTATATTTTGGTTTACATAATGTTATATGAGTGTGAATGTCTAAATAAAATATTCAAGTGGATCTCCTACACTCAAATTGGATGAAATTTGTTTAATAAAATATTGAAGTATGTAGGTTTGTTTTTATTAATAATTATTATGTACAGTTAGAATTTAGAATTATCCTACTAAATCACTTTTGTTTTTATCAATTCAAAATGGTTATTGACAATTAGAATTATCCTACAAAATCACATTAGGTAAATAATGACTTGGTGTGGACTAATTCAGTAACCACAACAAGTGATGACACTGGTGCAGAGCTGAACCATATCATATGGATCCTTAATTTGGCAAGAAAAGAGGAATGGAAGGAGGTGATCTACTGGACCAATTCAAAGATAATTGCAAAAGCACTTAACAAATTGAGAACCCTTGCAGATCCAGAAAATTCTCAGGTGCAGGATATTTTTGGTCTAGATTATTTGCTTCATGTTCTTTTTGGATTGTCAAAGCTTAATAGTGCTTTTTAGATGTTTTTTTAGTAGTTTGTGGTGAGTATTGGGAGCAACATGTATTGGCTCTCACTGTGTACTCTTTTACCAACAATTGTTAGTTGGTATTTTCAGTTCCAGTTGGTCTCAGAATTTGTATAGTACTCTTCTTGTTGAGTTTAATTAATGAATGGTTTATCGTTTGAAAAAAAAAAATAATAATGACTTGGTGTGAAAAACTACTAGGTCACCTCATGAAAGGCATATTATAAAAAAAAAAATGAATCTTTTTTAACAGTGAGGCCCACATTTTGGTTTCCTAATTAATGTCTAAAAAATAAAGGGCAATGCTATATGTACACCCCTTTTTACTAATTGTACACCCCCTTCTTAATTAATTGATAAAATATTGTATAATTATTTAAATTACTAAATGTACACCCCCCAATTACTAAATATACACTCCTCTTGTCACATCACCTTTTTTTTTTTAGTGACATGACCACTCATTTCTAATTATACACCCCCCTATTGTCAAATCAACTTTTTTATTTTTTTAGTGACATGACTCACACTTCCAATTATACACCCCCCCTATTGTCACATCATCTTTTTATTTATTTTTTAATGATATGACCCACAAATTACCAATTATACACCCCCCCTATTGTCATATCATATTTTTTCTATGCTTTCATTATTATACAACAATTTTTGTATGACAACCATTTTCTATGATGCTTTCATATTTTTTCTATGCTTTCATTATTATACACCCCTTTATATTCTATATATAGCCTTCAATATATGAGCTCAAATATGCACACTCCTAAAAATTTCATAAATTTCATATACACATTACGGTTTTATATATATCATTTATTTGAAGATGTCAAGATCCGATGACTTTGTTATTGATAACACGGCAGAATTTACCGTTGAAGAGGTACTTTTGTTAATAATTTTATAAATATATTTTATATTTACAGTAATAGAATTTTTAATATTAAATGACTATGCTAATTTTTTTTT